GCAGCACTGTTCACAATAGCCAGGATATGGAAACAACCCAGATGTCCCACCACAGATAAATGGATCCAAAAATTGTATCTATACACAATGGAATATTATGCAGCCATTAGAAATTACAAAATAATGGCATTTGCAGAGAAATGGATGGAGCTAGAAGAAATCATGTTGAGTAAGGTAAGCCAAGAACAAAGAGACAAACTGTACATGGTCTCCCTGATAAGTGGATGTTAAATCCAAAATGTTAGGTGATACAACAAAATTAATAGGACTTAAGAAACAAAGAACTTCCACTCATCTGGTCGAACCACTACTAAATAACCCCATGCTGCTGATCACATGTATGGTATATATGTGTACGCCGTTATAGACCGTGATAGACAATTTGCTCCAGGAAAGTTAGAATGAGTTTCTGACTCTAAATGAGCATCACTATCCCACAATACTGTGAAATTTAGGAAATTATGTAATCACTTAATTACAAAAAAAAAAAAAAACCCACCAGAAAACTAGAAGTGGCGCTATGGCTCAAGTGGTAGAGCATGAGCCTTGAGCTGAATTGCTCAGGGACAGCTCCCAGGCCTAGAGCTCAAGCCCCACAACTGACAAAAAAAAAAAAGAGAGAGAGAGATCTTTCATGCGATTGTTTCTAACATATTTATAAGATTATGTCTTTGTTGCTTTGTATGTCCCTCCCCCATGGTATAACCCCTGCTTTCACTGTATTTGATGTTGGTATATGTGGAGGGGAAGGAAAAACACAAATCGTTAAAAAAGGGATACAGGAGGACCCATTGCAACAATGAGATGTACGAGTCATTATGTCCAAAAACGAACTTTACAACTTTGGTGTGGGGGCCAGGGGGAGAATACGAAAGGATGCCAAGGGGAAACAAAGGAGGAGGCTACAATGCTTGATAAGAAATATTCTCATTATCTTGCCCGCATAATTGTAACCCCTCTGTACAGTATTTTCACAATAAAAAAATACGTTTATAAAAAAAAAAAGCTGGGGCTCAGCAATGATGCCCGGCTCCACTCGGAACCTCAGCTTCCCCATGGCAAAGGGGCCACTGATTCTGTCTTCTCCTACGGTTGAGCACAGGGCAGGCTGTGGGTGCTCTAGGGCTCATGGCTACCTCTTCCACTGACATTCACATGGCTACATAGGAGACTGTCTGGGCTCTGGCAGAACATTTTCTGTCAAAATGGTTGCTGGATGTAAGCATCACCATTTCAAGAGTAGCCACCATTTTACGAGAATCTATTTCCGTTAAGCCATATCCTGTAATAAGAATTGTATTTGAGGGCTGGGAAGGTGGCTCAGTGGTAGAGCACTTGCCTTGCATGCCTGAGGCCCTGGGTTCGATTCCCCAGCACCACATAAGCAAAAAGGAAAAAAGCCAGAAGTGGCGCTGTGGCTCGTGATAGAGCGTTAGCCTTGAGCTGAAGAGCTGAGGGACAGTGCCCAGGCCCAGAATTCAGGCCCACAACTGGACCAAAAAAAAAGAATTGTATTTGAATGCCAGTGTGCATCTGATCACATAAAATAATGTTTCTCAAAATGAACTACAGGAAAGGGAAGCAAGAGGTCTTCTCTCTCATTTTGTTTTGGTTTTAGTCTTGTTTCTTGATCTGTCTTTGGGAGGGTAAGGGAAGGCACAAAGATGGAGGGACAAAGGGTGAAAAAACACAGTAGCTCACTCAACACTATGTGGACAATGATCCACATTTTTCTTTTTCTTTTTGTCGGTCATGGGGCTTGAACTCAAGACTTGAGCGCAGTCCTTGGGCTCTTCAGCTCAAAGTGAACGCTCAACCACTTGAGCCACAGGGCCACTTCCGGTTTTCTAGTGCTTTATTGGAGATAAGAGTCTCAGGGACTTTGCTGCCCGGGATGGCTTTGAACCGTTATCCTCAGATATCATCCTCCTGTTAGTAGCTAGGATTACAGGCATGAGCCACCAGCACCTGGCTCCGTGGTCCACATTGGGGGGGGGGGGGACATGGGGAAAAAAGTAAGAGACAAAGAAGTGACAGAGTCCAGGAGATAATATACTCATTACTTGACTTATGTAACCCCTCTGTACATCATCATTATAGTAATAAAAAAGAAACATACTTTCCACTTGAGTTATATAACTGTGACAAATTTACACTTTGTTTTTTCTTTTTGTGGTCCTGGGGCCTGAACTCTGAGCCTGGGTGCTGTCCCTCAGCTCTTCAGATCAAGGATAGAGCTCTACCACTTGAACCAGAGTGCCACTTCCAGCTTTTTGTGCTTATGTGGTAATGAGGAACCGAACTCTGGGCCTTATGCATACAAGGCAAGCACTCCAGGACTGAGAAACCTTCTCAAACCTTACATATTACCTTTTTAATAACAATAAAAAGCATATTTTTAAAAAGGATTATTTAGCTGGGCGCCGGTGGCTCAAGCCTGTAATCCAAGCTACTCAGGAGGCTGAGATCTGAGGATCCTGGTTCAAAGCCAGCAAGAAAGTCTGTGAAACTCTTATCTCAAATAAACCACCAGATAACCAGTAGTGGCACTATAGCTCAAGTGATAGAGCTCAAGTGATAGAGCACTACCCTTGAGCTGAAGAGCTAGGGGACAGTGCTCAGGCCAGAGTTGAATCCCCAAGACCAACAACAACAACAACAACAAAAGATTGTTTTCCTAAGGACTGAAAGTGTGGGACTCACATGCAAGAGTGCCACCTGAGTAAGAATTGCTTTTCTGACAAGTTCCTGTGTTGACCAGGTATCCAAGCATTAATTGCTCAGATAAAATGGTAATCCTTTCCTAACTAGCCAATTGTGTAAGATGGTGAACGTAAACTATGATCAGACAGAACGAAGGGCAATAATGCATTAGGAACAAAACTTGGGTGGACTGCCCCCTCAGTTTGCGTGCATATTTATTTTCTTGTTCAAGCATATCCTTTATGCAAAGTAAATTCTGTTTTGATGAGTTCCTTTCCAGATGGTATCCTTATTCATTGGAACCCCTCTATCCTAAGATACGTCCAACCATTAGAACAGCAGCTCTAACACTACAGCTGTTCATGACCACAGCTGCTCACATGACCGCAGACAGCCACAGTGACCCACCAAGCCACCAGGACACCTGGAATCACGCTCACCACCTGGTGGCATTGCTCACCTCTTTATTTGCCCAGCTGGTTTGCTGAGTGCCTGCTAAATGCCAGGCACAAGGCATCAGTGTCCCCCCACCAAATGATAGACGCCTTACATCTGCTGCCTCCGTTTCCTGCTCTCTGGGCAGGTGACACTAGAAACACCAAGCACCACTGTCCTCTGGCCCCAGCCTCATACCTGCTCCAGGGATTGGGCAACAGGTCCACAGCAAGTCCTACCTTCCTGCTCTCCCCTCAGCCTTCACAAGCCTTCAGTGCTCATGGGACCCGGAGAAGAGAGCAGGCTCCCAAGGTACTCAAGACCTTGCAGGGACCCTGCAGGGTGCATTTGCTCAGCATGCTGTATTCACACGGGACAGACCCAAAGCACAACTGCCAGCCTGCCATGGCTCTCACCCTCAGCTTTATCCCTAGCCTGGAGCCCTGGGAGAGGCCAAACTTCCTTCCTGGGCTTTGCTGGCTAGCCACACCATGCCTTTCCTGCCCCCGCCCTCCTTGGGCTGAGGTGCTGTGCTCACTCACACCTGTGAGGCCTCTGTAGCCAAGCAGGGCCTGGTGCTGCTGACCTCGCTCTGCCAGGCACGGTCCCAGCTTGGCCTTCTTGCCCAGTATGTGTCTGCAGCGTCCACGTGGCATGGCACGTGGTAGAATGGCTGGGCCATTCTACCTCTCTTGCTCATTGAGAGGCCTGAACTGACATTGATGAAAGCCTTCTGGGGGACCAGCCCCATCAGCTTGCCGTGACCCACCCCCCGAGCTTCTGCCAACCCTCAGGTGTGCAGATGGGTGGCACCCAACTAGAGAGCTCCACTGCAATGACCTCTAAGGGACAGTCCTGGAGCCCATTCCTGGGTCTTAGTTTTGTCATGATAAGGTATCCAAGGAGTGCCTAGGTGGTCCCTGGCCCAACCCAGAGATAAAGCAAGACATCTTCATGTGATACTTGGGTGCAGACCCTGGATACTTAATGGGGAAGTTTTAGGCACCCTAGAGGGTGCGGTGCCCAGGGCACCTTCCCAGATTGCCGGGGCTTTATGCCAACTAGAGCAATGGCTGGGGAGGAAATCCCCAATGTGCAGCTGGGGAGCTGGGATCTTTTCCTGTCAGCTTAAGACCGTTGCCAAGCCTAGTGGCCTAGGTGAGGATCTGCTCCACCTCTGGGCCAAAGTTCTGGCCTGGCCTTTCCTTGAGCCTTGGTCCACTTCTCTAGGCAATAAGGAGCTTGGTGTCGAATGAGCAGAAGGGGGTACATATAAAGTGCCAGTCCCAAGGCTGGCCCATGAACTAGGATGAGCCGGTGTGAATGGCAGCCTCTCCCTGGACTTTAGCCTCCACTCCCACAGGATCAGAGGGAGGGGCTTCCAGAGCAGGTGCCACCTTGCTCCCAGGCCTGCCCCTGGCCCTCAGCCCAGGCATGTCCGAGTGTCCACCTAGCTCCATATCCAGTCAGCATGACCAGGAAGAGCCTAGTATGACCCTGGGCTCAGTGGGCAGTCATAGCTGGCTTCCACTGGCTCCGCAATACTAGCAATGGAAGAGATCAAGGGGCAGGACGGCTGCTGCTCAGAGGAGGAAAAGCCAAGTCAGACAATCCCCAGGTGTGCAATCACTCCTTGACTTCTGGAACTCTGCAACTATGAATGACATATGAAAAGGAAAAGTTCAAGGAAGAAGAAACAGGCTGTTATCCACTTCCCCACCTACAGCATTCCCATCCTGGCAGTGCCCAGGGTGGTCTGGAGCCAGACAGGGCTGACAGAAGGCAAGGGGTGGCACTAACATGCTCTGTGCCAACTGCCAACACTGTCCAAAGCGACAGGCACCTACACAAGGCCCACGTACCTCTTTCGCAAGATTTTCTGCCTTACTGTAGAAGTTGGTTTCCATCAATCCAAAAGAATACATGCCTTTCACGTAGCTAAAAACAGAGAAAATGGCTCAAAAGGATGAACTAGCAAACCAGGCAGCTTTGCAAAGGGTCTACTGAAGCCCTAGTTCCCCGGACCTCAGAAGAGACCACCTTTGCACAAGTGATCAAGAGAAGATGGCTTGGGTCCTGATTGTCACTGCTTTACAGTTTGTGAGGCAGAAGGCCTCAAACCATATGCGGAGATGCAAAAGAATGGGGCAGTGAAGAGGGAGACAGAAATGGGAGACATTCAGCTACAAAGGAGGCCAGAAGAGTCCAGCCCCCATCAGAACTGGAGCTAGCCAGGAAGGACACTCCTAGAGACTCTGGAGAAAACTTTGCCTTGCTGACATCCTGATATGGCTGGTAGAATGGCTCATAAAATAGAGTACCTACCTAGCAAGTGTGAGGCCATGCATTCAAATCCCATTTCTGGGGAGACAGTAAGGGAGAGAACACTGAGCCAGTCATGGTGGTACACACTTATAATGTCAAGTACTCAAGAGGTGGAGGTAGGAGAATCACAGAGGACAGTCCTAGGCAAAACTACAAGACTCTAACTGAAAATCAAACTAGCAACAGGCCTGGGGAGGGAGGGTGGGGGACAAGGGGTAGAATGCTTGTCTGGCAAGCTGGGGCTCTGACTTCAATCCTGGTTACATGCATGCATCAGGTCATGTAATCTATTTTTTTAATGATTCTCACTTGGAGCCCTCAGAAGAGCTTCTGTTTCCCTGGTGGTGATGGGAGTGTGCAGAGGCCAGCTGCTTTGCCAGCTGGCGTCCTGAAGGAAGCATGAAGAACTGTAAGGCCCTCAACCCTTGTAGGAGAGACATGAGAGCTGCTGATAAACCTTCACTGCAATGAACTTTGGGGAAAATGATCCCAGAGATAGTTGTTAGTGCAGTCCAAACTACTCTGTCCTGACTAACACAAAAACTATTACCTCATTCACAGGATAACATAAAGATGAAATAAATGAGCTTCATAACTCCTAAGAACTAGGGGACTTGCACATTACTCTCACTATGTCTATGTCAGGGCCCAGTGAGTTGCTATGTTTTAAGGACCAATGAGAGATGAAGGTGTGATTTCCACTGGCACATACTTGCTAAGGGGAATGTCAGATGTCCAGAAGGGGAAGACACGAGCAACAGAATCCCTCATCTGCTCCTGGTAGCCCAGAGAAAAAAAGGCACCGTGAGCAAACTTCAGAGCCAACATATCTGTCGGATGGTCTTGGAGAATCTGTTCCCATAGGTCGCTGGCTTTGGGCATGTTCCTAGAAAGCAAGAGAAATTTCTCAGCCACACTGAGTAGGAAGCCCAGACACATGGGAAGCAGACAAGACGTCCAGTCTCAGTCTGCTCTGTAGCTGAACAGGCTCTGTGGGGGTCTTGCCTGCCATCTTGGAGGCTGAGGAGGCCAGCAAGGGGGTGAAGTAGGTGATGATCTGGATAGCAGTAACCACACTCTTAATACTGTAGCACTGATACTGACCATGCCCTGAGGCTCAAGGGTTGAAGGCTTGGCCACATAGCCTGTAGAGACACTGGGAGGTGGTAGAAACTTTAGGAAGTCCAGGGAGGAAGTTAGGTCATTGGGGGAGATGGGGAACCACTGAATGGGACACTGAGACCTCAGTCCCTTTCTGACTTTATTTCCTGACTGCCATGAGATGAGCAGTCTCCCCTGCTACACACTTGCCATAACACTCTGCCTGCATGCCGCCCCAAGAGCAATGGGACCATCAGACCATGGGTTGAAACCCTGGGCCAAAGCAACCCTTGTGACCTTCTAACTGGATGATCACAGATACTTCATCATACTGATGGAGAGTCGTCCAACACAAAAGGTTGCCACTAAGAAAGATGCTGTCTTCTCTCTTCTAGATAGTTCTATAATGAGATTTAATTACTCTTATAATTAAAATAATGATCAGTTTAGCCAGGCATCAGTCGCTCATGGCATATAATCCTTGCTGAGATCTGAGGTTCTCAATTTGAAGACAGCCGATGATGAAAAGTCCAGCAGACTCTTATCTCTAATTAACCAGCAAAAAGCCAGAAATGGAGATGCAGCTGGAGTGACAGAGCACTACACTCGACCAAATAACCTAAAGGGCCCTGCACAGATCCTGTGTTCAGGCCCTAATATCAGCATAAAAAAAAAAGAAACCCCAGTTTAATGGCATGGTGGCATATACCTATAATCTCAGCTAAAGGGGAGGCAAAGGTAAGAGCTCTAGGTCCAAGGCCAGTTCCAAGATTCTTACCACAAAAAAATGCACTTGAGGCATGACTTAGCTACTAGAGGACTTGCCTAGCATGTTGAGTCCCTTTGTTTAAATACCAGCACTGCAAAAACAAATAAGTGAATAACCAGCTTATAAATCAAATCTAACAAGTCACTCTGAACAGGAATCCTAGCCAACAACCTCCTCCCTTGGCACTCAGTGGGGTGGGGACAGGGAAGGCACAGAGCAACCAGGAGAATATGGTTTCCCATCAGATGACCTTAGGCGGTGGGATAATAATCATGCTCAGGCTACCTCCTCCCCAGAGCACTGAGATATCCTGTGACCCTCTCCCCCCCTCCCAGCCTCGAGCATCAGCCCCCTGCCCAAGGAGGCCCCTCACCCTTTGGCAAGCGTCTCCACCGCAGCCACGTGCAGCTGCTCCCGGGGCGTCAGTGGCTGGGTCTTGGCCATCTCCACCATCTTCTTCACAGCCAGGTCCAGCTCTTTGTTTAGTTTCACGGAGGTTCCAGTGCCAAGGAGCACCAGGCCGTTGGATATGACATGGCCCATGGCTGGTGGAAAATTAGAAAAGAGCCTGTGACTCGGATGGCCTGGCCCCACATGGGAAATGGACAGCCTGTGTCCTGGCAGTATGAGGAGCAGGGTTAAGGGCAAGTGGGCTGTGCGCTGGGCCTCTGCCGAACTCAGCCATGGAAGAGCACTTCTAAGAAGCCAAGAATCTTCCTCACAGGGCGTTCTGGGGAGTGCCAATGCCTGACACCCACACGAGCCAGGCCGGCCACCTGTGGCCACTCTAGCCAGTACACGGGCCAGGAGGGGGCTTCAGTGGATTCTGCTCAGGGGGCTGGCCCAAGAAGGGCTCAGAGCACAGATGCATGGCCCTGTCTCTGCCCCACGCTGACAGCGGGACTGGCATGGTTTGTGGCCCCCAGCAGTTCTGTGAGGAACACAAGCCCTAGCTGCACTCCCAGCCTCCACCTAGAGAGAAGCAGGGCATCCTGGCATGGGAAACTCAGTCACCAGCCTGGGCCTAGGACCAGGGATCCAACCGGAGTGCCAGGGCCGCCCCTCTGGCCCTGCTTCTGCTCTGGCTGGCCCCACTTTTCCCCACTTTTCTCCTCATGCTGACCTGGTCTCCTCATGCTGGTCGAGTTCCTGCTACTTTGTTCCCCTTGCCAGTCCTTCTCCCAGGCCTGGAACCTGACCCCACACTGGGGCCACTCACCTGCCTCCTGAATGCCCTGTGCTGACCTCTTCCAGCCCACCACACACAAGCCTGGTGTGTGTGCCAGGTCTGCCATCTTACCCTGCCCTGGCAGCTGTCCGGGAGCTTCACTAGTCTCCTGACAAAGAATGCAGAGCCATCTCATGTGTTCCAAGGGTCCAGGCTTTGAATTCAGACAGCCTTGGGGATGGGGATGTGTCTTCCTCTCACTTAACCTCAGTGTCCTCATCGGAGACATTGGTTTTTGTGTAGAATTGATGGGAGTTATGAAAGAGTCTTTTCACAAGGCCTGGGAGCCTTACGGGAGCAGCCTTTACTCCCATCACATCTGTGTCACTGCCAGCCCCATGCTGTCACTCACCCACCCTGCCCCACTCCCTTCCTCCTGTGCTCAGGTCAGAGAATGACAGAGGGTTTGGGTGTGTCAGCCGGGCTCCTCTACCAGAGCAAGCACCACTCACCGAAGGTTGGGTCTGCGGCTCTGAGCTTTGACAGGCAGCCCTCGATGCCACCAAGAGTCTCATCATTGGTCCACTTTATCCACTGAAAGAAAAATGGTAAAGCAAATGTGTCCTCGTGGGGTCCTCACAGGAACAAAGGCAGGCCTCTAAACCCAGATTTCGTGTGGTGGTTTATTTGTTGGTTTGATGCTGAGGATCAAAAACTAGAGCCTGATACAAGCTAGATACACGTTACAAATGAATTCAATGGGGGTCTACTTTCAAGACAAGGCATTTGATCCAGAGTAGAAAATGACTAGTAGCTTCCTTTTGTAGTGATGACAGATATGACACAGTTCACTCAAAGCTGAGCCCACCCTGTTTTACCTTGTTTAGGGTGGATTCTAGAAGTCGCTAATTAGCGAGAGGAAGAACAGACTGTAATAAGAAATTGTTTGTGGGTCAGAAAGCACAGGCTCTCGCTGCCTCAGGAGAACAGGGAGAAATGGAAACAACCTTAAGCCCATTTCTAATACCACAACCAATCACAAGAAGCTCACCTAAGCATCTGAACTGCTCAAGAGGACGTAATTTAACTCAGGGAATATCAAGGAGAAAACCTGAGCCCCGTATTTCTGGGGCCACTGGCAAATTTGAGGCATGGGGAGTGCTATAAGCCAGGCAAAACATAGCTGGTGGTAAACCCCAAGACAATGCCTGCTATCAGATAGACTTTCCAAATTTCAAGGCTGCTATTAAAGTCTCACTTCAGCTGTACTTGTCTCTGAATCCATCTTTGACCTTTGATGTGTTTGTGTGTCTCACACATGCATAGCCTAAAGCTAGGTTTCTTTCTGCACCATTGAATGCTTTCAGGACTCAACTCAAAAGATTCAGTTGAAGCCAGGCTCCCAAGTCTTGTAATCTCAACTACATAGGAGGCTGAGATCTCAGGATCAAGGCACAAAGCCAGCGCCCGCAGTCAGACTCTTATCCCCAATAAACCATTCAGAAAACAGGTAGTGGCCCTGTGGCTCAAGTGGTAAAGCACTAGCTTTAAGTGGAAGAGCTAATTGATTGGGCCCACACCCAGAGTTCAAACCCAACCACCACCAACAAAAATAATCAGACTCAATTGACTTTCTAGGAAGAGTTGAAATTCATGTGACTAAGACCCACTTTCTAGAACTGGTGATGCCATTGTGCCCAACAAGGAGTCCTGAGAGAGCAGGTCTTTCCTCATAGGTGACCTATCACTACCCGACTACTTGTTCAAAACCTTTAGACAGCTCCACAGTGCTTGCTCCCTCTCTGGTCCTCTTCATTACACGGTTACAAAGAGACACCAAGGCTCCAAGGTGGACCTACCTGAGCACATCACCATTTTGATGACTTGGTGTGTTTGTTTCTAGTCTTGTGCTGGAGTTTGGTTGGCACTGAAGCGGGACTGGAGGGCTAGCTAGCCCTTCCAGCAGAGACTATACCTTCATCAGGGATTAATGTCTTCCTCTCAAGGCTGGGCTGGTTCTCTACAAAGCGGACCTGAACTGGGCTCAGTGACTCAAGCCTGTAATCCTAGCAATTTAGGAGGCAGAAATGAGGTCAGTGCAGTTCTTGAAAACCTTAAGACCACTAGTATCCGATTAAAATATTTTTGTGGGTGCGCCAGTCCTGAGGCTTGAACTCAGAACCTGGACACTGTCCCTAAGCTTTGGTACCCAAGGCTAATGCTCTAACATTTGAGCTCCAGCTCCAATTCTGGCCTTTTGGGGGTAGCTAATTGAGATCAAGAGTCTCACAGACTTTCCTTCCCAGGCTGGCTTGAAACTGCAATCCTCAGATTTCAGTCTCCTGAATACCTATGGTTATAGGCACAAGCTACTGACACATGGCTTCGGCATTAAGATTTTTTTTTTTTTT